CCACCACCACCCCATCCCAACCTACAGCCAACCCCATCTACTATTTTTCTCCCTCTCTCTTTCTCATTCGTTTACTCTTTTACCAAATCTCCTATTCGTTATGAACTCCGCCATTGCTATCACCCTATTCTCTTTATTTTGATTTAATTTTATTTCTTCTCTGATAAAACGATTTTTCCTGTACCACAGCATTCGTGAAATATTTGGGAGTTTTTTTTTTTTGTTCTTTTGCAAATATTTCTTCAAACAAAAATCCTCAGACCGCCAAGTTTTACTGGGGGGAAAAAATGAATTTCGAAATAACTGTTATAGTTGAAGGCTTCGATCACGCGCTCAGAGATGGCGCGCGTAATCAATGTCGTCATCATTGGACAATTTAAAATCTTTCAGAGAAATTCTGCGCGAATTTTTTATATTAATTTTAAATAATATTGAATCAATCTTAATGAAATCTATTTTATTTCGTATGATTTTGTTCAATTTAGGATATAGGTTAGTTTTTAGTTAATTTTCGCGATTATTTGTTATTTTTTTTTATTACTAATTTAAGAATTATATTATTTAAAGGTTATCTCTAGATCTTAAGGCTACTGTAAGTTTTTAGTAAATGGCGTTGTATTACAATTCATTTTATGGAGGGTGGAGATAAGGAGTATCATCTTCGTATATGAAAAGTGTCCATCGAAATGCATTCAATTAGGGTGGCGCCACAGTAGCTTTAGGGTAAATTTTAAAGGAAGCGCCAAATATTATTAGAGTAGGATTGAGAAATAAACAAGGAACACAACATTTTACCCATAATTGTTTTGTTATTCATAATACTTTATCAAATTAAATGATAAAAAATCAATAAATGTACTATTTACAATTCACGAAATAAAATCACTCTAGCTACACGTTGTTTTCTCATAATAATTCTTTAAGGTTATATTTTACTACATTATTACATAACTCGGCATACTTCAATTCGTTTACAATTGCTACATTCATACCATACCTTTTGTCTACACCAGCGCCATTCTGGAAGGTTTTTCAACTATTATTTATAGAAAACGCTGGACACTTTTTCACAATTACATTATTTTGTACTACGCAAGTAGTTGACATTTTCAATAATTAACTACTTTAGTCGGCAATAATATTAAATTATTTTAATAAGGCATACTTCAATTCGTTTACAATTGCTACATTCATACCACACCTTTTGTCTACACCAGCGCCATTCTAGGAAGGTTTTTCAACTATTATTTATAACATATGCTGGACACTTTTACAAATTTTCTCCGATAACAGAGATGTTACTCCTTACCTTTACCCTCCATAAATTATTTCAATTTGCATACGACATAACCTTACTTTTTCTCATATATTCTCATATAATTAAACTATATACATATGGTTTAAACTGTATGAAATGTTACGAAACATTCTGGAAGAGAAATTTATCCTATAAAAGAAATATATATATTGGATAGAGAAAGAGAAAGAGAAAAAGTAAGAAAAAGTGTGATACGATCTAGAAAAGTGAGAGTGGCACGGATTTGAGAAGATACAACACAAATACATACAACACACATACTAGGACTGGGTTATCGACCGCTCTATTAAATATGCAACGCATAGAATGACATAACGAACTTGTGTTTGTGTATGTGTGTATATGTGTCTGTGTGTATCTGTCTGTGTATCTGTCTGTATGTCCTCGTAACGAACGAAAGTGAGAACCTACGATAATTCATCTACGATAGCGAGACGTTTTGATGATTTAATCAGAATTTAAATCAATCAATTTTTTATTCCATTTTATTATCAGAGAAAGAGAAAAACAATGAAAGAATGCGAATGAAAACGAATGAATGAATTTAGGTTCAATTTAGGTTCAATTTAGGTTCAATTTTTTGATCGTAAGTAGTAAATGTTAGTGAGAATAATTATTTTGATTAAAACTAGTATTATTGGTAGTTAAAGGGTAACGTTGATGAATTTTATTTTAAATTGAAGAGATAAACTAATTGAAAATTTATTATATTTTTTTTTAATAATATTATCAATAAAAAATTCAATGACATAAACGTGTTATACGTTATCGTACATTTCAATTAAAATATCAATAAAAAAAAAAAAACGTGACATTTGTACAGGTATTCATTCAAAGTACATTTTATGATAAGATAATGAAATTCTTTTCTTTTTTTAAATATTTTTTTGTTATTTTTTTTTTTAATTTTCCTCTACTCTTCTACTTTTATCTAGAAAACAAAAATAAAAGAAATAAAATCGAGTGTAGGAAAGATATTTTAAAAATGAACGTTATTGATTTACGTCAATGCATTTCGAACGTGATCCTCCCATTGAACGTGTTTTTTAAAATGGGGGAAACCAATCCTAGTAAACAAACGATTTTTATATTTTTATTTTTTTGATTTTTTCATTCTTTGATCTCTTCTCTCTCTCTCTCTTTCTTTCTAAAAAAAAAAAAAAAAAAATAAAAAAAAGGTTTCATTTTCTAGCTATCAAACAAAATTTTCCAATTTATACAAATATTACAAAAAATCTACAAACAGACCCACATATATACATACACAGAGAGAAAGAAATTATATTTTATCAAGTTTTCATATATTTTTTGTATTCCAAGTTATTTTTTTTCTTTTTTTTTTACGTATCGTCACACGTTGAACGTTTATTGGTTCGCAATCGATCAAATAGATTTAAATGTTTGTAACTGTGAGTAATATAGTCTCAACCATTTCCATTTGTAAGTTTTTTTTTTGATTTTTTGAGAAAAACATTTTTTAAATCGTAGAAAAAACAATTTTTTTCCCCATTTGATCTTTCAAAACGATTTGTCCAAATGCAAACACGGTTTGTTGCAATCCGCGTAAAATTTGAAAATAATTCGTCAAGTTATCAAATTTAAACGTTTACAAGAGTTTAACATTAAAATAATGTAATTAAATATTTGTATAATTAAGTATGAAATCTTTTAATTTAAAAAAAAAAAAATGATAAAAATTGAATAGCTTACGAATAAATGTTCAAATGTAATGATATATTATTATAAAAAGACTTGCCACGTGTTGCTGTGACTCACAATCAGTCCGATACACACGTCATTAAGTCAATTGCAATTATAAATTGAGATATTAACTATCCTATCTTTTAAGTTAGCTGAAATTGCACACAGTGTGAAAAATTTGATTAAAATCGGTTCAGTAGTTTAGGAGTAAATTGTAGACAAACAACGTGACACGTAATTTATATATATTAAGATAAATCAAGATATAAACTATCCTATCTTTTAAGTTAGCTGAAATTGCACACAGTGTGGAAAATTTGATTAAAATCGGTTTAATAGTTTAGGAGTTCATTGCGGACAAACAACGTGACACGTAATTTATATATATATACATTAAGAAGAAGATTATAATATTTTAATTTTATAATATTTCAAATATATTTGTATAATATTATAAAAATATATTATTTATAAATTATATTATAAAAATAGTTATGATCCTATATATTATTTATAAATTAATTATTTGAGCGGAGTTAAAACTAAAACTAAAGATAATGCTTTCACGATTTCTCGATTTCGAACTGCTCTCGAATCAGGTTGCAAACCTGCGATAGACTCTCGTTCGTCGATCCGTGACACCTTAACCGTTCGACTATGTGCACACAAATGCACACAAATGCATACAGATGCATAAAGGATAGAAGTTAGCAGCAGCAATCGTCGTTCGTCGTCGCGTGTAGTAGACGTTGTATTGGTATAAAACATCGAAGTTATGCGGCGGCTTTTTTCCCCTTCTTCTTCTTCTCTATATTTATTTCTTTCTTTCTATCATTCTTTCTTTCTCCTTCTTTATTTTTCTTTCTCTTTCTATTTCTATGTCTTTCTCTATAAACTTAACTCGCATACTGGGTGTCCTTGCGGAATGAAAGTACCCGTGGAAAACGTGACCTCTCTTAGTTCGACGAATGAGTAATGCTAGTTGCACGGATTTAAACATTCAGCATAAATTTATCATTAACATCTCATGAAATTATCATGATTTATTTCTTAAGGGGTGTTTTTTTTTTGGTTTTTGTTTTGTAATATTGTATTTTACGGATTTTTTTTTTTTTTTCTAATTTTATTTCTCTTATTTTTTGATTACAAAAGTTTTGTGAATTTTACGTTGGTGTTATGTGGAAAAGGTTTGTACATTCATTTTTAGGATTTAGTTTTCAAATTTTAGAGATTGTACGATTATCTATTTGGTTTGTTTGTTAATTTAATTTTAATTTGTTATTTATAAAAGGTCCATAAACATTTCGTGGTATTATAAATATTTATTTTTTTTTTCTTTATTTTTTTAATATAATTTTTCAAGGGGGTATTTTCAAATTTTATTTCTTTTGTTTTGTGATTACAAAAGTTTGTGAATTTTACGTTGGTGTTATGTGGATTTTTTTTTTTTAAATTTTAAACTTCAGACGATTTATATTTTTGGTTTGTTTGTTTTTTTTTTTTGTTACAGATTGCAAAGGAAAGAAATTGAGAGAAACTAAGTAGGAAGAAGAAGAAGAAGAAGAAGAAGAAGCAAGTTGTGAGTTGGTTGCTTCCGATATTCAACCAAGCGTTCTCTATATCGGGGAAAGTGGAACGGCCACGTGAAATCCGGTCTATGGTGGACAGAAAAATATGAGCATCTCGTGAAATCCGTGACACAGAGTTGGAGTTTTTAGACGAGAAGGGAGAAAACATCCACCCCTCTCCCCCCGCCCACCCCACTCATCATGGAGACCGAAGAGCTCACGAGACTCGTCGACGAGATATACAAGGTAAGTTAAATATATTTAATATTAATTATTAATTATTAATTAATAATTATTAATTATTACATCTATATTATAAAGTAAATTACACGTGGATTTAATCAATTATAATCTGCATTGTGTAATTGTATTATTATTATTATTATTATTATTATTATGTTTTTTGGTTAAGTTAATTGAACACAAATATTATCATTAAACAAATTATTTAACAATATTCAATTAATTAAGTTATTTAATTATTTAATTTAACAAAATTAATATTTAACAAAAATATTAATATTAAAAATATTATTCTTTTTAAATGTAATTATTAAAGTTAATAATTTGGGGGTTTTTTTTTCTAGTGATTTAGGTATAATTAAAAAAAACAAAGGTAAATAAATTAAATATATTGATAAATAATTTATATCATTATAATATTTATTATATGATAAATAATTTGTCTATATTTTGAAAATAATTTAGTAAGATTTTTTAGTAATAGTCATAGTAATATAATATAATTTAGTAATATAATAGTAATTTTTTTTTTTATTTATTAATAAAATAATTTAACGTGGTGTATAGAATATTTTTTTATTCATTAAACAATTACAAATTAAATCTTTTGATTTATAAAAATTCAAATACAGTATTTGGACATATTTAAAATGGATGTTCAATAATTTTAATTTAATAATAAATAATTTAATTAAATATTCATTTACTTAATAGTACAATCTCAATCACATTAAAAAATAATAATAAATCAATTTAATAAATTATTAAATATTATTATTGTATAATTCATCGTAAAATTATAATAATTTCTATAAGAATCTTATAGAATAATTCAAAGAGGTATGAAAACAACATGAAACCATCAAACTCAATATTTACTTTATCCCTATTTTCTCATCATTTCTTTTTTTTCAAACCAAAAAAGAAAAAAGAAGAGAAAAGGGAACCTTTCGCCATAATTTTGGCTCGTTGCCAATAATCCCCCATCCCCCATAGAATCCTTGAATACGGTGTCTCTCTCACCGGTGCTCGGTGTGTTATCTAATTTAGTATTTTCCACTGTGTTCAATTGCGCGGGAAATTCGAATTCCACGGATGCCAACAACGTGGACTGATGATAGGGTAGGAGGAAGGAGGGAGGGAGGGAGAGGCGGAGGGGCGGAAGGGGAGGGGGAGGGGGGGATAGTGGTAGGCAACTTGCTTATGGAAACCCTTGGGAATTATTCTACCTAGGAATTTGATGGAATTTTTATAGAATCATAAAACAAAAAAACAAAAAAAGAAGAAACTTTAAAAGAAGAAAAAAAAAATTACAATCTTCTCATTTTAATTTAAATTTAAATTATAATAAAATGCATACACATATACACATATATTGGGGGAGGGGGGAGGTGAGCTGAAAAGTAATGGTCGTTACTACGCGTGTCAAATTATTTCTAATATTTGAAATATCAAAATACCGATTGATGATTTTTAACATTACGATATTAAAAATTTGGCATTTCAAATAGAAAAAAACATTTGTTGATAACGAGATTAATTAATTTAATTATTGATTAATAATCAAAACTTGTTTAGAACAATTTATTTCTTTGAATTTTGAGGTTAGAAAGCGACATTACTTGTTAGTTGTTCTAATACATGCGAGTAATTCAATTAAAAATGTTTTATGGTGGTGAATAATAATGAATTTAATTTATTAAAAAATAAAACAAATATAATATAAGATTGCAAAGTTTGTTAATAATAATAATAATAATAAAAACAAAAAATAAAATAAAACAAGCAATTTATTTATAATCAAAATTCGAAATCTTCTTCAACATGAGTGCATATATGTTGCGTATGGATGTGTATATGTGTATGTGTGTGTGTGTTTCTTAGGAGAAAGGTTAGAAGCCCTTTGCCACAGAATTTCCCGATAGTTAGGTGTCGTCTAGGAAAATTATCCATATTGCAAGAGAGTAACAGAGACCTATATATATACATATATACATATATATAGATATATATATATATACATAGGTATAGTTAGTTGGGGTTGGTTAGGAGAGTAGCTTAAAGAGGGTTGCGTCGTTGAAAGCAACGGGGAAGGATGGAAGGAAGGAAGGAAGGAAGGAAAGGGGTGGAAAGGGAAGGGAAAGGGAAGGGAAAGAGATGGAAAGGGAAAGGGAAGCGCGGAAGCGAAAATGATTAGACGGCAAGTAATCTTATTAGTCGTTCGGCAGTCAAGCTTTCCTTCAAACTGCAATCTTCCATCCCTTTCTACTTGTAGGCGTCAACCTTCTCACCTTTACTGTTAGACGAAGTACCTACCATTATCTCGAGAAAACCCTTGTCTTCATTTTAGTATCATAGTATGTATATGAAATACATAAGTATAGTAGTATTGGGATCTCTTGCAGGGGCGTGGCGTAACAATTCGACCTATGTACTTTAATTCTGAATTTAGTCACCAGATAGCGTAGTCAAGTTCTAGAGAATCCTAAGTGGCGTCGTAGCAATGTGACCTATTTACTCTAATTTTGAATTTAGCCACCAGATAGCGTATTCAAGTTCTAGAGGATCCCACGTGGCGTAACAATTCGACTTATGTACTTTAATTTTGAATTTAGCCACCAGATAGCGTATTCAAGTGTTAGAGATCCCAATATGTAAATGTACTTATTAATATTTTTATTTTTATATTTTATATTTGATATTCTATATTTGTTATTTAATTGTATTTTTAATTTTATATTTTTTATTATTTTTTTGTCATTGAAAAAAAAAAACAAAATGGGAACGTATGGGAAAAACAATAAGGAAATGTAGGTTAGAGGAGGGTGTCTATAAGAAAATGATTTTTTTTTTAGGATACAAGTTAATCAAATGTGACAAGCTGATTTTGATTGTTAATTATGTTAATATAATTTATTAATTATATATTTATATTATTTATTAATTATATTAATATTTCTCTTCTTTATAATTTTATAATGTATTTAATGTATTTATATCATTTAAATAATTTTATAATTAATTAAAAATGATAGATAAGTTTGATCTAATTGTCTCTAATTGAAATTAATTTTGATTGAATTAATTGTATTGTTTTTTTTTTTTTTTTTTATTGGATATGTTTAACATTTTATTATATTTTTATAAATTTCATTTGAGATGAGTAAAATGTTGTCTATTTTTAACGATACCTTGGCTTTACCTATTAATTAGCTTCTTGTATACTTTGAAAACGATGTTTATAGAATTCTTTTGTAAGATACTTTGACGCGATGAAATAATTTCAAAGTAAAGTTTGTTGCTTGTAATACTAGTAGTAGTAGTAGTAGTAGTAGTAGTAGTAGTTAGTTAGTATAACATACATTCTCGATAGAAAATACTTAATTATATATTACACGTGTATGTATATGTGTATGTATGTGTATCTCTATACACACATATACACAAATATATATATATAGAAGAAGGTGGAAGACTTTGTAATGATCTAAATATTGACATTGGTGTTTCCCTAGAATATAATCGGCTTTTGTAATCTATTTTCTCTTTAGAAATTGATAACACAAAGGTGTTGGGGATGAGATGGGGGTGTATAAAGGGGTGGGTGATGGATACATCTTGTAATAACATCTCAACATCGATACAGAACACGTATTATTATTATTATTATTATTATACCAATTAAAATAATTTCATTTATTAATATAAACATTACATTATATATGTATATATATTTTACATTAATATTAACAAACGCATATATGCGTTTATAACACTGTAAAGGTTAAAAGGAGGATTTGAATTAGAAAATGATTTCAATTAATCAACACTTTTGTTGAAGATTTATTTTTCCATTTCACATTTCCTCCTTTTTTGTTTCTCTTTCTTTTTCATTTTTATTTTTTATTTTATTTTATTTCTAATCGATTTAAACCTAACGTTGATAAATTCCAACCAACGACGGAAAGTTATTAACCGTAATTATCGATGAGAAGAGGTGTTTTTTTTTTTTTTTTTTAAATAAAATAGAAGAAGAGGAAGAAAGGAAAAAAAAAACTTTCATCTCGAATTCCATCTCTCGTCGTCGTACGTAATTCCAACGTTTTATAACTCGTTAGAGAATTATCGAATAGTTCGCGGAGGAAAAAAGAAAAACGTTTGACAAATACTTTTTTTTTTTTTCTTTTTTTTAATTCCCTAAAGAATTTTATCCCCGTGTTATTTGTCGAATCGGATTTTTAATACCACTCGGATATATAATTAAAAACGTATCGTTTCCGACGAGTTGCATATATTAAAAAAAAATAAAAAAAAAATAAAAATTAAAACAAAGGTTGCATCAGACAGATTTGTAAACAAATATTTCTCAGACATTTTTGTTGTTGATATTAATCGATAGGAACATTTTTCCGTGAACTTTAACACGTGTGTATGTGTGTATATATTTAGGTATCATTTATCATGTATCAAAATGTAAAAGTGTTGTTATTTAATTAAATTAATTTGTAAGATTTTAAATTGTTTATTTCGAACTTTATTTTTTTTTTTTTTTTTTACAAATTACGTAATACTATTGCAATAAATTTTAATAAATAAAAACATACTAGGATTTAATCTGTTATAAATCAGTGTATCTATTTTTGATTTGTTAAAACAAATCAAAATACAATTAGATATAAAATATACAATAATAAGTATAATTAATTAGGTGTACAAAATATATATATAGATATAATAAATTAGATATAAAGTATAATAAATGTTACAAATTAAATTTAAAATATCATAAATTAAATAACATTTATTAAATATAATAAATAAGATTTATATATAGATTAAGAGTCTGGTTACGTTGAGTAGTTTGTTTCCGTCCAATCATTCAAAGTCAAGCAGACGTTTGGTCACGTTTAGTAAGTGGATGGGTGACCCTGCGCGTTGTTGTTGTGTTGTTATTGTTTTTGTAATCTCTTATAATAAAATATTAGTTATATTATATAATAATA